TCAGGTGAAAGGTGGCACAGGGGAGGGACGTGGTCAGGAGCTGAGTTACCCAAGTGCATCCTGTTCTGGGACCAACTGCCCCTTCAGCACTCCATCTCCTGTGGACTCTGCCAATAGCTGACATGACGTTCTTCAGTCCTCGGCCTATGGTGGTTATTAATGCTTGTGTTTTAATTTTTCTCTGCTGGCCTGCCTTTCCTATTCAGTCTCCTGTGTCTTGGGGGTTCTCTTGCTAGGAGAGAACTAGTTTATAGCATCTTTTTACTAAAATGACAGCTCTGTCCAGTGCTGGGCTGTCAGGGAGGGACAGCACATCGCACTCCCTGACCTGCAGCTGGCAGCCCATCCCTCCCCAGGACCACCGCCTTGTTGGGACTCTGCACTCCAGGGTCTCTGATCACCACTTGAAATTCCCCTTCCATATGGTACAAGGGGGGAAAGACTGAAGAGTAGAATAGAGACAGTCATCCAAAAGTGTCAGTAAAAGTTGGAGTGGTCACATATGAAGAGGGTTGCATTAGCATTGAAAGCTCATGAGCCCAGTCAGCATGACTCAGTGGTTGAGCATCCACCTATAAACCAGGAGGTCACGGTTCGATTCCTGGTCAGGGCATATGCCTGGATTGCGGGCTCCATCCTCAGGAGGGAGCATGCAGGAAGTAGGTGATCAATGATTCTCTCTCTCATCATTGATGTTTCTATCTCTCCCTCTCTGAAATCAATATATATATTTATAATTTATAATTTTTTTTTAAGGAAAAAAGAAAGCTCATGAAAACAGGCCAGGTTTTGTGAGGGCTGCTGGATGGGTTCCAGTTCTCTGGGACCGGACACCCAGCAAAGAACAGCCCAGCTGACTGGAACCTTAGAACCAGGGTAGGCACAGCCTGTGACAGAGGAGACTGCAGCAGGCAGCCCAGGAGCACGGCAGGCCTTGCTCTGGGAGTGCTAAGGGTGACCTGAGCTGGTGTGGAGGGCAAGCTGGACTTGAACACCTTTCTGCAATCGAGCAGCAGGTGTCTGACCTAACTTTGGTAGCATCTGTAACAACAAACAGGCTGATTGGTAGGGCTCCATTCTACTTTGGCGGGCTCATAAGTTAGAGATGGAGAAGAGGAAGTGACTAATCTGCTAATTCCACTGGACTGCAAAGTCAAACAGTTAAGTAGTATGATTGCCTATTCAATTAAGCAGTGTTATTCTATCTGGCAAATCATACATTGCCTACCAAGTTCTCCTATTATTTAAGGGAAATAAACATTTTTAAGTATTGTAATTTAGCTGGTAGCATCTAAAGCTATTACAGATTAAGAAAAGTACTTAGTAAACACATTAGTGTCTATGACCAGTACAATCCAAACCCTACCCATTTTCCATATTTCCTTGATCTTTGGTCCAGATGGATTGGTTAGGCTTGGTTACCAATTGCTTCCATGGACAGAAGAAACATGTTCACATGTTTTATGGCTATAGGCAGTACAAACACAATTTTTTTTTTTTTACACTAAGCAAAGAAAGTGTGTTTAATAACAAATTACAAAGCAATTGAAGGGGAAATTCGTTTACTAGTTATTTCCTATCTGGCAGGAGTCTCTCCTTTGTAGAGGTCACTGGTCTGTTCACTTAGCCCACAGGGAGGTATGCCCAGAGGGGTGGGTGCTTGGCACACAGCAGTGGTGGGAATAGGCTCTGTGACTCCAAACCAGGCCTTCCCTGCTGCACCACCTCCTTCCTAACATAGAGCTGGTTTTTAAAGTCCCAATTACTATCAGCAACAGAATGCTTGTACATTCTAACACATGAGATGGCCAGTAAGCGTGCAAACATTTTTCTGGCGCACCACCACTTCAGCACAGCCCATTGGCAGGTGCTCAGTGATATGTACTGGATGAGGGTGCCGGGCATTTCTCTGACACCAGTTGCTGTGGCCCCCAGCGCAGCCTATGAAAGACATTAGATTGTTTCTCAGACGGGGCAATGAAGTGAGTAGCCCGTGTTCACTGGAGTTCTTCAAGTTTTACTCTAAGTTATTAATTCTGTATTACCTAATATGTATAAAGTTCTAACTTGGGTTGTCTAGTGTGAGTAATGTTTATTTTCAAAGGAAGCTCTTGTACACCCTTCTCCTAGCCTCCCTCACCACCATTCCTGGCAGCAGAGGAGGAGAATATAGGTGTTCCCATTAGAGAGGTGTGGAAGTTGAGCTATTTCCAAAAGGGTGTCCACTAAGTGAGAGACAACAAAATCAATTATCTTATTTTCCTCCCAATACACTTAAGCATTTAGAATCACATCATTCTATTCATTTTAAGACGCTTAATTGCAAACTACCTTAGTGAAAAGCAGCTCAAAATTTTGCGTGTATGTCTGTTTATATCCCCGGAAGTTCAGGCAGCTCCTAAGATTCTCTGTATGAAAGATAACATTCCATGGGAAATATGGTAAATGTATTTGTACAACTACTGTCATGTGGAATATGCTTCCCTTTTTTTGTCAGAACATGCGTTGCTCCCTCGTGATTTTTCTCCTTTAAAAGGAAAGCCACACAGACATGTTGTTATTTCTCCCGGGCCCTGAGTAGAGGTTTTCATATTGTTGCAGCCTTAGACCAAACTATAGAGAAAAGAAAATATTGTACTTGGGCCGAAACCGGTTTGGCTCAGTGGATAGAGCGTCAGTCTGCGGACTCAAGGGTCCCAAGTTCGATTCCGGTCAAGGGCATGCACATTGGTTGTGGGCACATCCCCATTGGGGAGTGTGCAGGAGGCAGCTTGTCGATGTATCTCTCTCATCGATGTTTCTGGCTCTCTGTCCCTCTCCCTTCCTCTCTGTGAAAAATCAATAAAATATAAAAAAGGAAAATATTGTACTTGGGATACCTGTTCAAAGGCTCCTTCCAGCTCATTGCCAGCAACCCTAGCAAACAAATTAAACCAGGAGCAAACACCCCTTGGAAAGGCCAGTGCACCAACTGTGGCCTCAGAGAAAGGCTGGAAAAAAGGGGGCCATCGTCCTCCTGGAGGCAGGCGGTCAGCTCTGAGCCTGCTGCGGGGAAGAAAGCCGAGTCACCCAAGCCCAGGAGCAGAGGCTGGAGGAGCCCCTCTGCCCGGCGCCCAGGACAGCTTCCCTTGGTCTGTGCCTCCAGGGGCTCTTGGTCTCCCCCGGAACCCTCTGTGGCAGAAAGCAGGATTTGGGCAGAATGGGCAAGACTTGAGCACTGTGCATCCACATCAAAGTTCTCTGGGAAAAGTTATCCTGAAAGCAAAATAAAGAAGAGGGGCCCTAGTCTGTTTGGCTCAGTGGATAGAGGGTTGACCTGGAGCACATGTGTCAAACACAAGGCCCGCGGGCCAAATCCGTCCCGCCAGGCCTTGCAATGTGGCCCGCACCGCACTATCATCACTGCACTCCGCTGCGTTTCCATCACAATGACAGTTTATGACTGTTCAGTAAACCATTCGGCCCGCGATTTAGGCTGGATTTTAGATTTTGGCCCCTTCTCTGATTGAGTTCGACACCCCTAACTGGAGACTGAAAGATCGCAGGTTCTATTCCAGTCAAGGGCATGTGGTTTGGTTGCAGACTCGGGGGATGGGGGGAGGTAACCAATCGATGTGTCTCTCATATTGATGTTTCTCTGTGTCTCCCTCTCCCTTCCATTCTCTCTAAAAAAGTGATGGAAAAATATCCTCAATGGAAAAACAAGAAGAGGGGCCTGGGTTTGGGGAAGGAACCACTGGCTTAGAGAGGATGCAAACAACCCATTTCTTTCGACATTGTTATTTTGTGTGTGTGAAAATTGTGGAGGGGTACCCATAGAGAGGGCTGTAGTAGGCTTGGGCAAGGCTTGATTCTCAGCTCTGATTCCTCGTTGTCTACTTAATAGACAGGCTTTTATTATTCGTGGATTTATTCCTAAGATCCAGAAAAGCCGATTAATGATGTTGCTACAACCCTTCCCCCCCAATAAAAGTAACACTTAATGTCATCTTTTACATCATTTTGTTGGATTTTCTAGTCAACTCCTGAAAAAAAGCATGGTGGGGTTTCAGGTATAACTACTTGGTTGGTGTATATTAAAAAAGCTCAGATAATTTTCAAATAAATATGAAACCTTTATAAAAAGTAGGTCCCCTGAACATAAAATAGACATTTTTCCCTGGTTCAAGTTAGGACTAAATGAAGAGAAATTGGAGAGGTTCCAGAGGATAGTAATAAAAATGATTAAAGGACTGATGATGAAAGGTTCAAGGAGTTGGGATTACTTAGCCTGGAGAAGAGAAATTTGAGGGGTGATTTAATGGCAATCTTCAAGTACAGTATGCAGAGGGTTATTACAAGTATGGTAGCCAGCTGTTCCCCAGCTGTATTGAAAGTTGAAAAAAAAGAGATAGGATTTCAGCTAGAGACTTAAGTTAGACCAATGGTATAAATGCTATCTCAAAGGATGGGAGACCCATCGTGGAAAATCATGAAATACCGATGTTTGAAGCGCAAATGTGTGTTTTTGGCTAAGTCATATACCAACCTATAGGCTAGCAGTGTACCAAAAGCTTAAGGGAGAATTCTGGACTACAAACTCAGTACTGGGGACACGTGGACTTCAGGAGATGAGAGGGAGTTAAAACGTTCCTTCAGCACTGGGACTCCTTGGCCTGGGGACCCCGTCTGAGAAGCAGGGAGCTGTGAAGTGGAAAGCGCGGCACACCTGCAGACAAGCTGAGGGGGGACCCACGGTGACGTCTGAGGGGCTCGGGCAGGGACTCAGAACCGTCCGCATCCTGGGACGCGCTTCTCCCCTTTGGCCCTGACTCCATCTCCTCCGGGGAAGGAGGCGGAGGGGCCTTTCCGCTCCAGACAAGTCCTTGGAGGCGCACTGTTAAAGCTGCAGCAGCAGCACCCCGCAGTCGGGGTCAGAGCAGCTGTGGCCTAGCCCATGGAGTTAGTTCACCATCACCAACTCCAGATGATCAGGTACTTCGTGCTTTAAAAAAAATTAGACTTTAAAAAATTTTTATTACAAAGCTCCTTTTAAAAAATGCTCAGCACGTTAACGCAAACTGGAATGACAAACGTTAGATGACAGTTTGGGGCAAAGGCTGTGCCTTGCTATTTGAACAAAACAGAAAAAAAAGAAAAAAGGGTACATCAATGATCGTTTTAACAACTGGCATAAAATCCCACTAATTGGCTAATAAAAACAAATACAAATACAGAACATTTAAAAGTAATAACAATTCAAGTGCTGGGCTTTTTACAAGAAGGGGTGAGAAGGAAAGCAATGAAAATTCACTGCAAACTGGACTACCGAAAGTATCTGTTAAGGTTTACCATTAAGAAACAAACAAAAACAAAAACAAAAAGGAGATCCGAAGAAAAATAAAATGGAATAGTACTGCCGACTGCGACCAGCAGAGTGGACGTGGCCACTTACCGGACAAGATGTTGCTCAAAAAAAAAAAAAACCAGTGGCTTCTTTTCAGTTCCTTTTTATTTCAAACGTTTCCAGATCTTTGAATTTTACTTAAAAGCTCATAGCTAGCAAAATATACAGGAAAAATTAAAACTAAAAAGTGTAAATTAAAAAAATATTCAAGTTTAAAAAAAAAAAAAAAGGAAGCAAACTTGATCCTTTTGCACTGTTAAATAAAAGCTCCAGGAGAAAGGCAGAGAGGGAAAAGCGAAGACGGGCGTGTAGAGGGAAGAACTCGGCCTCACGTTCCCACGGGGACGCCGATGGCCACGCCGGCTGCCGAGCCCAGGGGGAGGCCCGCGGGGGCAGCCAGGCCGCCGTCCTGGCCGAGCGGTCACCGGTGTGGACGCAGATGCTCCAGGAAGTGCACGGCGGACACGCGGGGAGCAACGCGGCTCAGCTGACCCAGGGCCCGCTGGCGTTCTCTGTGCTGCTGAATCTTCTTTTTTAAAAAAAACCTTTAGCGCTTCATTGCGGACCGTGGCTCTTGCAGTAGATGAAAGGGGGTTCGGCAGTGATTGTCTCTGGATCAGTGTCTCTAGCAGTGACCTCAGGGTGAAGGTGGTGCCAGTTCTCTGGGGTCGGCGGGGCAGGCCGTGGAGACGGTCTGGGTTTCAACAAGCTTCCATCTCCAGGAGGGGTCCCGGGGCTGCCGCCTTGGCTTTGCACGTGGGGAATGAGCTTCGTTTTCCACCTCAGGAAGGAACACAGGAGAGGCTGTTAATGGGACTCTGCCTGAGGCCTCGGCAAGGTTTTCACCGCCTACCGAACACGGCGCGTGACCTGGGATCTCTGCGCGGAACGAGTCCACGTTGCTGACTCGGTGATGGCGACACGGACTGCCCCATGATCGCCCCGTATCCCCAGACTACGTGAGAGGCAAGCGTACTTCACTGAAATGTCTATTTTGGTTCCACGTACGTATATACATGTTATAGGTTATGATGGGAAATACACTTTAAAAAAACATCCATTTCATACTTTGGGTCACGGACAAACGTGGACTGTAACGGCGGGCGATGGCCACACCAGGGGAAGAGCTGTTCTCTAAGTGTTGGGTGTTCTGTGTGTTGTGGGGGTCCGCCGTGTGATTCTCCTGCACAGGACTGACCCCGGCTCCCATCCGCCCGCCCCGGCACATGCCCACCACCGGCCGCTGCGACCGACCGACCAGCATGTGCTCCGTGCATCCCTCAGTCCACTGGCGCATAGGCCTCTCAGTCTTACCCAAGTCTTTACAGTCCTCTGGCTTTTTTTCCTTCCCAATAACTGAGATCTCCCATAACTGTCAGCCTTGGTATGTACCCTTAACAAGTATTTGAGAAACTGTTGTTTGATATGCTGATGATGACTTTCACAAAGGATCCCCAAAACCCTAAAATGAGCTAAGATTTTTCTAAAGCAACTAAAGATAAAATAAACACTGTACCAGGATGAGACCTGGATGAAGGGAAAGTGCAAGCACTCCGAAGCTTGGTTCGTTCACCTGGGAAGGAACCTGGGGAGGCCTTGCGCCCCCTCCCCCCTCTGGGTCCGACGACCTGGGTCCCCGGCCATCTCCGGTCAATCTCAGTATTCGTGTTTGTGCTGTCCTTGTTGCCAGCACAAGTTTTCTTTAAAAAAAAAAAAAAAAAATTAATTCTAACAGTGAATTTCTTCATGCTGTTTGAGTGGAGAGAGGCTCAGAGGAGAAACGGAAGGAAGCTTTGAAATGGTGTCAGGATGCACACTGGCCTGCGGGGGAGGGGAAGGCTGCAGGCCACGTGCTGCCCACGGAGGAGAGGCTGGGGGGGGGGGGCGCGAGGGCAGGAGAGGGGGCGCCTGAGGGGCAGGGAGGGCGCCGGCTCAGAGCCGGGGGCACGGTGACTCGGACACACTGGCTGCTGCTGGCACGATTGGCCTCAAAAGGACTCATCGAAACCGTGCGGAAATGTCTGTGTACCTGGGTAGTTACTGAGAAGACAGAGCAACCACCAAGCAGAGGGCAGTTAGCCCCGCAGACTGCTGTCTGCCGAGGACACGGTCAGCGCCTGTCCTCCTGCACGATGCCCCTCTCCGTGTGACAGGAGAACATGCAGCCTCTGGTTTTCTAAGGGATGCGGACGCCGGCGGCCCTGGGCCAGGCCCACACAGCGGGAGAGGACTGGGCCTCAGACTGGCTGCAGGAAACACACGGTCCATCCCTCATCTCAGCCACCGTCTGACTGTGAGGTCATGATGTCAAGACCTGCACGGCCCTGCTGTGGTCCTAGTCCTTGAGCAGGGCTGGACACCCGACAGCCTGTAGCACCCCCACTTCCACTCTCCGAGGCGCCCTTTCCCCTCCGACCTCACCCCCGTGGGCCACCTCCCTCTGAGTGGAGGGAGCGCAGTAGGGACAAGAGTCAGAACAAGCTGTCTGCCCGGGGCCGTTCCCCAGAGATAACATGCTGCGCTTCCCATGGGAATCTCAGCATCCAGTGAAGCCATTTATCTCTCCCAGGTAGCCACACACCCCCTGCCACCATTTCCTTATGTGCCCCCTCTCAATTCCTCCGGAAAAGCTGGCTTCGGAATCCTCCCTACAAGGGACAGAGAGCAGCCCGCCCCCACTGGGACCCGTTCCTGACAGTGGCCAAATATTCGAACACGTGGGCAGAGACACTGCCTCGCTGCCGGGTGTGGCGGTCCGAATCCGGCTGCTTCCACACACACAGGGTTGTCTGGGCAGACAGAGTCTCCCCTCCAAGTGGGACCAGGGGGTTGCTCACAGATATAAAACTCGTCAAATCAAGTCTTTTCAAGAAACCACAGGCACGACGCTGGGAGACGAGAGACTCCCCACATCTGAGGCTCCACTGGGGCTGCGCCAGGAGGGGCGAGCCAGGCGAGCCGGCGGCGCAGCCCAACCCACCCCGAAGCCAGTGCCATCAAAGCCGCAATTAGGCGCCCACTTCAAAGGGAGCGGCCCTGGTGTCAGCGCTCAGGCTCCTCCCTCCGCCGGGAGCCACTCCCGAGGCCCGGCCTCTGGACAGTGGGCTCCCAGGAGGCCCGAGGCTAACGCCTCCCCCAGCTGCATCCCCGGTGCTCTCTCTCTCCGGGACCAAACCCCAGTCTGGCAAAAACAGCCCCCTGGCCAGATGGAACCAGAGCCCAAAGGTTTCAGGATGGGCCTGTCTGGAGCGAGAACCAGCACTGGCTCTGAGGCGTTGGAACTTTCTAGGTTTGACTCCAAAGTGAGGAAGAGAAAGGGGGTCATTCCTGCTCCCTCAGCTCTAACAGGAGATTCATGAAGCTGGCGCTTTGCCAGCTCACAGCTGCGGCTCCGCAGCCCGGCCTGTTCCCCAGGGGGAGGCAGCATGTGGGGGGCCGCTCTCCTCCGTGGGGCAGCCGAGCGGGGCTGTAGGGAATAAGGGAAGACCTCCCCCCGCCCCTTGGTGTCAGGTAGGATCATGTCCTTGCTCAGAAACCATGAAGAAGGTTCAAAGATCAGAATAAAAAATCCTTCCTTCATCCTCCACCCAAATGTGGCTAGCAAGGAACAGGGCCTGCAAATGTTCTAAAGTTACAGCATGAAATCTGAGGAGAGGTACCTGTGAGGTGAAGAGGGCCAGGTACCTGTGAAGGGAACAGGTTTTAATTGCAAAGTTTGCCTCACAGCAGCGCACCGCACACCTCATGCCAACTGTCAGAGCGTTCAGCCTGCCGCAAGGCAAACCGACAAACTCCTGTGATCTCAGGGCGTGAACTCCCGCCTTGCGCAATGTCATGTATGTCAGGCGAGAAGTGCCTCCTTTCAGAGCAGGAAGCAAGCATGACGGAGCCGGTCCGGCTGTGGTTTAAGAGGAGACTGAGGCATACGGCCATCAAGGGGCGGGTCCCAGGTGACCCCCGAGAGTACCCGGGCCTCCTGGCTCTCTGTGGGGCACAGCCTTGTGGATTCCAAGGCGGCCTGGTCTGCAAGGAGCTGGTGAGGGGGGAGGAAAAGCAGTGCCCGCCAAGCACGGGTGTGCCAGGCACCGGCAAGTACTTGCCATGAACGGCGTCAGGTAATCATCGCTCACAGATAGGGAAATGGGGGCTGAGGGAGGTTAAACAACACGCCTGAGGTCACCCCCCGACAGGTGGCAGGAACAGGGTTGGAGCCCTGAGCACATGCTCTCTCCACCACACCTTCCTCTCATTCCGCCAAAAAGAACAAAGCGGCTCACTGCGGCTCACTGCGGGGCACGGACGGCTTCGGCAGACCGCCCGCTCACCTGGCTGTTAGTGAGCCCGGCAGCCTCAGTTCTAAAGAGCACGGCTGAGGGCGAGAAAGCGGCCGGGCCTCCAGCTACCCCAGTGCCAGCAAGTTCCCTCACACAAACAGCACACACTCCCCTTCCTCCTCAGAGCAACCTCCATAGGCCAACTTGGGGCGGGGGGGAGGAGGAGGAGGACAAGTACCTTCCATTTATCTATTATTTAAATAAGCCTCGCCTTCTTCCAGATCCACATCATGTCAGAAGGAGCACATTACCGTCCAAGAGGGGTAGGGTCTCAGACAGAAAAGGAACGCACAAAATATTGTCAAGATCAGATTTTAAAACAATTTTTTCTTAACCCTCACCCAAGGATCTGTTTGTTTTGAAATTGATTTTGAGAGAGAGAGGAAGAGGGTGATAGAGAGAGACATGGATGTGAAAGAGAAACCTGGATCGGTTGCCTCCTGCGTGCACCCTGACTGGGGATCGAACCTGCAACCTAGGTATGAGCCCTGACAGAGAATCAAACCCACGGCCTTCTGGTGTACCAGAAGCCAACGGAGCCACCTGGGCAGGGCAAGGGCAGAGTTTTTAAAAATCCAACCTGACAGGGGTCATTAAGAATATTGGCCAACAGCACCAATTCCTCATTAGCATGAACTATGCATGCCACACATGTGCACTGTGGAATAATGACAGGAGGTATTAAGAAATATTTAATTTCCACGTATTCTGTTGAAGAAGATGAGCTACACCCAAAAGAGTTAAACATTACATGCTTTGTTAACTTAAGTAAAAGGCAAACCTAGAGTTCTCGGAGAAACCCTCTTACTCAGGACGGCTGATTTCCTCTATAAATCCAGACGGCTCAGTGAGAATCAGAATGTTCTGATTTTTTAAAAAGTGTCCAAAACACTTTTTTCTGTCAACTCTTCTGTGCATTGATCTTTATTCAATTTCATGAACAAGACCAAGTATTACATGTCTTAAAAGGGATGAACGGGCCTCACACTTCTCTCCCTCCTGTATTTTAATGGCATGTGATTAACATTGAGAGCCACGGGTCTGGTTCCCCGTTTCTGTTCCCCAAGGAAACTTGCACACAATTCTAGCTCTTCTGACCAGGAAGGAAGAGGAATTGATGACAAGGACACTGCAGCATGGCAGAGATTTCAAAAGCTTTTCCCACGTGGGCAACCCCCTCCCCATGTCTTCATGAACGCAGAGCTGTCTAGATAGAACCGCCGTGTCTGCTAAGCTAACAGGCCGGCCACAGCTGACCGCAGAGCTGCATGCACACCTGTGGGTTGCTGCGTAGCGCTCCTCTCCTCCCCACTCCTCACCCCGACAGCCTCCTCCGGCCACAGCTGACGATGGATCTGGCACGGCTGAGCTAGGCCGCCCAGAGCCCCTTTTCTGGGATTGGAAAGACTCGCCATCTCTTTGGGAGACTGAGACTGTAACAACACCT